CCGCCTCCTCTTCCTCCTCCTCGCTGGCGGCGGCAGTGGCGGTGGTGGCCCCGCCTGGGGTCGGGGGTGTCCCCGGCGGGGCGGCGGCGGGAGTGAAGCTGAAGTACTGCCGCTACTACGCCAAGGATAAGACTTGCTTCTACGGGGAGGAGTGTCAGTTCCTGCATGAGGACCCGGCCGCCGGAGCTGCCCCGGGCCTCGGCCTCCATAGCAACAGCGTCCCCCTGGCTCTGGCGGGCGCGCCCGTGGCCGGCTTTCCGCCCGGAGCGGTACCGGGCGGGGGAGCCGGGCCGCCCCCGGGGCCCAAAAAGCCGGACCTTGGGGGCCCGGTGGCAGGAGCCGCGGTCGGTGGAGGAAGCGGCAGCGGGGTCCTCGACGGACCGCGGCTGGCAAGTGAGTGTGGTCCGGGCTAGGAGGGCGGCCTCGGCCTCGGGACGGTGGCGGAGGGAAGGCCCGGGGCCGGACGAGGCCCTGCGACCGAGCCCGGCCCGCGGGTCCCCCCCTTCGCCTCCCTCGGCGCTCTGAGAGGCCTAGGCCAGGCCCGAGCCCTCCTTCCGTCTTCCTGCTTCCCCTCCCCACAGCCTTCGGCGAGCCCGGGAGCAAGGGGAGGCTGGCTTCCTGGGAACGTGGGTGGTGGACTGGGGTGGTAGAGTGGGGGCGGGGAGGAAGGGGGGATGGGTTGTGGCGTGCGGTGTGCGGGAAAGGGGGTGTCGTTTCCGGGGGGTGTGGAAAGGGGCTGGGTTTGCGGGCACACGTGTTCTGCGTGCCCGTGTGGAGTGGAGTCGGCAGAGGGTTGAGGTCGCCGGGTGGGTGTGTGTGGGTCGGGGGCGGGATGGGAGGGCGGGCTCTGAGGCTTCATGCAGTGGGTTGAACGAGCGGAAAAAGTTTGTGCAAGGCTTCTGGGAGAAAGGTTTTCCAGGCAGGAAATGCTTTCTAAGGATGAAGAGCGAACGGGCTGCCGCGTTTATCGTGTGCTGAGGTTGAGTCGGGAGTTGCGAGTAGGGATTTCACAGGACTTGCATTTCAGCATGGTTTTCCTGAAAGCTGGCAGAAGTTTGCAGGGTGTCACTAGGGATTTCGTCTTCTACTGCTTTGTACCAAGCGAACCCTTAGCGTGGAGCCTTGAAAGCGTGTCATGTGCAGCGCACCTTTGTGTGCGACTGAGCCCTTGAATGCGGATATCTTAGGACTGTTTGCATTGTTTACTTTCTGTCATTATCTGTTGCCTTGCAACTTTTGAGCCGTTAGTGAGTGGAGTTTGAAGTTCTATTAAGTGTGAGTGTAATCTGTTTTACAGAATGTTTGCCCTTAAGGAAAAAGTAGAGGTGCCAGATTTTCCTTTTTTTTTTTGAGTTTGTTGAGCATTTCTAAACCAAATGGGAAAGTCCTACTTTCTTGGGAATTCTAAACCGATTTCAGATCTGAAAATCATTTGATAGGTTACTTAACTTGAATGTCAGAACATTGTTGTCTTTTCTTTTTTTTTTTTTATTAAACTGTAAACGGACTATGTACTTGTCTTGATGCTTTAGCACTTACTTGCTCTATGAGGACTATAAGTGTCTTCCCAGAGATACGTGTGTGTGTTAAAGATTGTTTCTTTTGCTGCGATAGGCTTTACTTTAGTGCAGATATATTTGGTGAGGTGATATGCTAAGAAGATTAATTTGTAACTTAAAATGTTTTGTCAAAATGGTTACTTGATTGGTGGAATTTTATCACTTTGGAGCAGCAGCTTTGCATTTTCAAGGTAAACTTGCTGTATGTCTTGAGTTACGGCTCAAATTAATTCGAGTTACGTTTGATTAGTAAGCAATGAAATTGAACAGTATTTGTTACCTACAGGAAGAGACACTTTCAAAAATGCAGGTATTTTATTTAATATGTGATATTTCTAGGATTTTCCGATACGCAGAGGTAGTAGATTTGGGACATGAAAGTTAGGACAGGCTGTAAACAGGTGGAAACAGGAAGGTGGAGGAGAAACACTAGCAGTGACTCAAAGGTGGGGATCATTTCATATCTCAGGAACAGAAAGGAATTGGGATATAGGGTCTTGAGAGGACACAGTGTTAAGAAGCCATTTTAAAATTAACGTTTAGTCATTTTTAACAGTTATTTGATTAAGTAGCTGCATTATGTAGTTGGATTCTGTAGGGCTTGCTTTAACTTAACTGGGTGAAGCCTAAGGCTCCTCTTTTCTGCTGTAGGGTTCTTGTTAACTCTCAGTGGTACAGGTTGTGATGAGATAAAATTGCCTCTTATCAATGAGTGGCAAGTCAAGTTGTTCAGGAATCAGGGAAGAGGATTGTGTCGGTGATTTAATGGCTGCTTTGAATTTTTACACTTTATTGTTTAATTTTTAGTCTACTTTCTACATTTTACTGTGTTCTTATACTGTATCTTTTGAGACACTTGTTAATTAAGTGTATGAAGCAGTTAAACTGGACAACACACTCTAAGAAGTGTTGCTATAAGGAGAAATTTATATTTTGTTAGTTGCTGACCTGATCATGTAGAGTCACTGACACAATTTTATTTTGCTTTTATTGTTTTCTTTGCTGTTCTTTAAATGTAAGAATGTAGATTATTTCTTTGGCTGAGAGGTCAAACAGATCTGCTCTGATAAGCTGGGTCTGCCTGCAGAAATACTTTGGGCTCCTTGGGTATCTTGTGTGTGTGTGTTTTAAAAGTTTTTTTTTAATCGAGGTCTACATACCTAGGGAAGAGTATACAAATCATAAGTTTTGGAATTTTCACAAGATGAACACATAGCGTATAACAGTACTCAGATCAAGAAATAGAACATAGTACCTCCCAGAAGTTTTGCTCTTCTTGCCCTTTGCCAGTCACTGCCCTTTCCCAGAGGTAACTGCTGATTTCAGGCACTACCTTATAACATTGTAGATTCATTTTTCATGCTTTTTTGAGCTTTATAGGAATGGCATCAGGTAGTATGTACTCTTTTTTTTTTTTTTTTTTTTGAGGTACGCAGGCCTCTCACTGCTGCGGCCTCTCCCGCTGTGGAGCACAGGCTCCGGACTCACAGGCTCAACGGCCATGGTTCACGGACCCAGCTGCTCCACGGCATGTGGGATCCTCCCGGACCGGGGCATTGAACCCGTGTCCCCTGCATCGGCAGGCGGACTCTCAACCACTGCGCCACCAGGGAAGCCCCAGTATGTACTCTTTTTGTGGGCTTATTTCTTTCAGCATATTTATAAGATCCATTCGTGTTATATAGGAACAGCCTCTTAGTCTCATTCTTGTGTAGTGTTACATTGTATGAATACACCACATTTTATTTTCTCATTTTACTGTTAGTGGGCAATGGAATGTTGCCAATTTTTGTCTATTACGAAGAGCACGGTTTTGAACACCCTTGAACATGTTTTTTGGTTCAAGTCTACGAATTTATGTTGAATTACATGGGAGTGGAATTGCAGGCTTGTAATAGGGCATGCAGATGTTCAGCTTTAAGTAGATGACTTCAGTTTTCTTAAGTGATTGTACCACATTTACATTCCCTCTAGAAGAGTAGGAGAGTTCCAGTTGCTTCACATTCTCCCCAACACTTGGTGTTCCATCTTATACTTTTAGGCATTTTGGTGGCAAATCTTATGTTTTTAATTTACATGTGTGTGGATTGTAATTGAATTAGTTGACAACATTTAAAAAATCAGAAGGTTTAACATTGAAATACAGATTTCTGGCTTCCTTTGAAGGGCGGCTCTTTTGTATATTGGCGTTATAGGTCTTTGGTGGGGCAAGACTCTCCATTTTGCCTTATTACTGACTGGGTGACTTTTCTCTGCTGCCTCCTCTCGGCACTTGAGTTTTTGACCCTTGCTTCAGTACTTCACGTTTGCAGAATTGTTTTGTTAGCGTTTCACATTCTGTTAAAACTTTAGAGGTACACATGCAAGAAGAAAATTTTATCCTTATTTTGCAAGCATTGGAAAACTGAAGCAGAAAGGCCTTTTCTTCTCTGTGCGGTGTTTCAATCTTGTAGAGGAACTATACTGCCTTTTGTTGCTTACTTTTTATCTATACAGAGTAGTACATTTTCTCACTTCAAGCTCTTCTGTTGAGGTGGCAGTGTGGTAGTAAACATGTTCTGGCATTCAGGATTGTTTGGGAAAGAACAGTTTATTTTTTAAAAAAAGCATTTACTTTAAGTTTTTGACATTTCTTATTTCTTTTGGACTTGGGATCTTTGAAGGCTTAAATGTCGTTTGATTTGAGTTCAACTGAATTATTGATTCTTGATAGTTTAAAGATGTAATTCTAATATTTTCAACCAGCTAGACTTTTCATCTTCAAGGTGCTCAGTTTTTAGCAGCTAAACTGTTATACCAATATTTGTATTTCATGCACATTATTTAATTTGAAACCCAATAGATTTGTTTATTTTACCACAGTAGACTTATTTTCAGTTCTACTAATTTAGTTAGTAATGAAGGCTTTGGCATAAGGCACATCTAAGATGGGCCTGGCTCTCTTATCTACTAGCATTGTGATCTTGGGCAAATTTTTAACCTTTAAGCCTCAGTTTTTCTCACTTAAAAAAATGGAGGTAGTAATAATACCTACTTAAGAGTTGTGATAAGGTCGCACGTGACACTGTCAGTGCATTACTTGGCACATAGTGAGGTTTCAGGCTTAGTTGCTTCTGTTATTGAGTATTACTAGTAGTAAGTCTACAATTAACCTGTACATTTCCTTACCTCCCAGTTTTTGAGAGTATGTTTTCAAGACCAGTAAAATAGCTACAGATTACTGAACTGTGGTTGTCTGTCCAAATGAAAGAAAGCAGGGGATAACTTGAAGTTCATATACAAACTTTGGAGTGTATGATAACGTGTATGGCAAAACTGTTTTTGTTTAAGCCAGGATTATACTTTTCATCCCACAAACCCGAATCAGCTAACAGAAAAGTGAGTACTGGGAATTTGCCATTAGGATAGCTGGTATAGATTTAAACATTTTTATTTGACAATACACAAAGTAGACAACAAAGACTACCATTCAGTTCACTCCTTTAATATTGTGCTTGCAAAGTGGCAAGTTTTGATCTGGGTGATAGTAATACAACATTGAATGAAACAAAAGTCTGCCCTAATGGAGGCTACGTTCTAGTGGGGAGTACAGACACGTGTATAAGATAAAGTCAGATCTTGAGAAGTTTTATGAGGAGGGCTTAGAGCTTTATGAGGAGTACTCAACAAGGGTTGTCCTAAAGTTAAGTCTAGGTAAGAGTCAGTTAACAAGTAAAAGACTGCTTTGCATGGAAGTGCATTTGAAATGACTCTAAAGAAGATATGTGATTGCCAAAACAAAACAATATCTTCCTATTTTTACCCTTTTATAGGATTTTTCTGTTTTTAAATTAA